TAACACCCCCCTAAAACTCTCATGCCAAAGACCACCTTCCTTTTTCGTCTATCAAAGTCATTCACTCGTCTCTCTTTTATTTACTTTGCCCACTTCTTCTTCTTTCCACGTGGCTCTTCGTTATTTCTTTTTCTTTTTTCTTTTTATTTTCTCTTTTTATTTTCTCTTTTTCTTTCTTTACTTCTTTCTTTCTTTTTTCTTATTCATTCATGTTTTTTATCTCCGATGTTGAAATTTTATTTTCTTGCTCTCGTAGGATAATATTACGCTGACAATTTTTATTGTTAAATTGATTTGTTCGAGTTATTTTTTATTTTTTTTATTTTTCCTTCTTTCTCTTTTTTGCTCTTTCTTCGTAACTGTAACCTTGACCCTCGATTATATTTTTTCTTTTCCCACATGGTACTCTGTACTTTTCAAGGTTAAGATCAGATAGGAGAATTCGTACGGATAAGAGATGTTGCTGTATCTTTTTGAGGATCATTTACACTTGGTTTTTTCGCTTCAAAAGTGATTGTATGATGAAAATTAGTGATCAGAATTCGGGGGTTGGTATTTCTATTTCCATAGATTTAATGTTGTACATTTGTTTAAACATTTTTTTTTGTTTTTTCTTTTTTTTACAAATCAAATCAAATCAAATCAAATCAAATCAAATCAAATGAAATCAGATTTAATCGGATCAGATTATTATATTGAATTTGGATGAAATTGTTAATAAAATATTATTTGTATGTTACGTTTTTGTTTTGCAGTCGCTTTTGAAAACGGCCGACCAATTGAAAATCAAGGGCCTCTGTGAAGTACCTGAAAGTAAGGACGGTCCACCATCAGTGAGTTTAAGCTCACCACCGAGAGAACCTGGTTCACAAAGATTCAACTTTACCAGGTTGAAAAGACCTTATCCGAGGTATAAGAGAACGAGGACATCATTTGAGCCTCGTGCCACTGATTCTAGGCATTACGATAGATATAAAGAGGAAGAGGATAGTGATAGTTACCATCGCAAAAATAAAGAGGTAAGTTAGAAACAAAAGTAATCCAATCATTCAATAGAATTCATAAAAATGTACTAGAACATTTTCATTAATATCACCGATAATAATCATTAATTCGTTAATTAATTATTTAATCTTTGTGAATTATGTCCATATATATTATACCCGATGAGTACATTCACAAAAGGGTTTACATTAATGTACCCTGTTTAAAAATAAGAAATCAAAGTCACGTTGAGATAGATAGCTGATTGATGATATAATTCTAGTTTCACATTAGGTGTATTTAATTTTAAAACGAGACGTCAAAGTAAATTCAGACAAAATATCTGATCATGTTGAAACATTCCTTATGGTGTTTCATTGAGATCTGATATTAATGTGTTCCCCATCTTGAAATAAGATATCAAAGTGAATCGGCAAAAACGTTTGAATCAGGTTTAAGATCTCGCAATAATAAATTCTATGCAATCTATAATAATGACGTTGGTAAATAATTTCGCAGAATCGCAGGGACTGGCAGGTAGAAGATGAAGAGTGTACGGAGGTGGCAGCAGCAGCAGCAGTAGTTTTGGAAAGTTGCCAACGTAACAGTAACAATAGCAGCAACAACGCTAACGGTACAAACAACAACAACAATAACGGTAAGCCAATCAAGCTGAGTTCTGCGCCCCACACCTGAACCTTTGGATTTCTCGAAAAGGTCCCTTCTCTTTTCTAGACCTACGAAAACACGCGCGTTTGTGCGTTCCTGTCGGAACCGACTGATTTCGCTCAAAGAGCGAATGACATTAAGAAAAATAATGAAATAAAAAGAAAGAGAAAAAGAGAGAGAGAGAGAGAGAAAGAGAGAAAGAGAGAAAGAGAGAAAGAGAGAAAGAGAGAAAGAATGTTGGATGATGATGATAATAAACATCAATCGAAGTCGGTACGATAAATAAATCCTTAATGATTTAAGGATATATGGGGGACTAGGAACGATGATAATATACCATCGTTCAATGTTGTTTCCGTGATTGAAGCATATCAAATCGCATCAAGCAATTGGATCACGTTTGGAACTTCAAGGGTTATAGGTGTGGGGCGGATTACCAGTTTTAGGGCCGGTGGGGACAGACCCTTTTCACTCGGAATAAAAAGGTGACATGTTCTGTCACACAGGGCTAGGTCATTACGGTCATCACCCAGATCCTGGTGAGGTAGATCTGCCTCCAGAAACACAGCCCACACCACCGAGCGCTACTTTGGTCGGTACCACTATTACTCATTTGCGAGACTCTGATCATCATTCGACTGGTAAATATATAACAAGGATTTTATTCAATTCCTATTACATTATACGTATTTTTTTTTCTTTATAATATAATGATAATATTAAATAGAAGATATTATAAGGACAATGCAATAAGGGTGGGGGGTGGTGGTGGTGAGGGGGAAGGGTGGAAGAACTACTGGTCAATGTGAACAAAAAAAAAGGCAGGATAAAAGACTAGTCGGTCATTAGGCTAAAAGGGAGTCAAAGTAATTGGTCTAATCGTGCTTAACTGACTGGGATTAGATTTGCGTTGCTCTATTCGTAACGACGGCCCACGCAGCCTCGTTTATAATGATGCTTGCATCTAGATTTACCTTTTTTAACGATCTTCTCGTTTACGAACGTTACGAACGTTACGAACGTTCTTCTTTTACATCTCTCGAACAAGACTAACTTTCTATTCAAAGTTATACAAGTATACAATTGTTTCACATTTAATTAAACTTTTTTCCAATGGGGTTTTTCTTTCTTTTTGTCTTTTTTCTACTCACAATCAGAGATACAAAATTGCGATACAGTAAAGATCAAGTTCGAAACCCTGCACACGATGGATTCTGCGGACACGATCGATATCGACAGTCACATGTCGGACAGAGCGAGTGTAAGCTCAAAAAATGCTGCGGACAGCGACAATATGATGATGATAACGCCTGAACTTCTCGGACTCATGCCCTCTGGCAGTTCGATTCATTCGGACTCGGGTGAAAATAATTCGAGAGGTCATTCTGGACATTCACATCATCATGGTAATAAATCATGGACACAAGAGGACATGGATGCTGCGTTAGAAGCATTAAGAAATCACGATATGAGTCTTACGAAAGCATCTGGTAAATATACCAAAATTCATATAAATTTTCAATTGAAAATCTTTTCAATCTAATTAGATTGAATTTATTTGATTTCGTTTTTTCAGCTGCATTTGGAATCCCATCAACGACACTCTGGCAAAGAGCTCATCGTTTAGGAATCGACACGCCAAAAAAGGACGGACCTACGAAATCCTGGAGCGACGAGAGTTTGAATAATGCATTGGAAGCACTAAGAACAGGAACGATCTCAGCTAACAAGGCATCCAAAGCTTTTGGTATACCTTCCAGTACACTTTACAAAATAGCAAGAAGAGAAGGTATTAGATTAGCTGCACCCTTTAACGCGAGCCCAACTACCTGGACACCTGCCGATCTAGATCGTGCATTAGAAGCAATAAGATCTGGTCAGACCTCTGTTCAGAGAGCTTCCACGGAATTTGGTATTCCTACGGGAACGCTATATGGTAGGTGTAAGAGGGAAGGGATTGAACTTAGCAGAAGTAATCCCACGCCTTGGAGTGAGGATGCTATGACCGAAGCTTTAGAAGCTGTCAGGTAAATATCTCTCTTCTTTTCCATTATTACTAAATATAATATCAATATCGTAAGTCTTTAGATCGAGGCTCTTTAGAGATTTTTCAAATTGTTTAAGAGCTTTTGTTCGCCATTTAAAGACTTCGAGTCCACTTTGAACTATTTCATGGACATGTATATATTTATTTTGTAGGCTAGGTCACATGAGCATCAATCAAGCAGCTATACATTACAATTTACCATACTCCTCCTTGTACGGACGTTTTAAAAGAGGCAAATACGAGGAACCGGTAGTCGGTGATTTGTCACAGGACGGCACCAATTCACATTTTCATCAAAGTCCTACGCAGAATCACTCATCTACGATTCCCGATCAAATGTCCTATCAAGGCAGCTGAAATTTACCTTTGTATTAGATCGTTAAGTTATAGTGAATAGTTAACTTCGGTTATCTATATCTATATGTATGAAGAGGAGAAAGGTGACACAAAATACGGAGAGTGACAAAGAGATGAAGATGGGAAAAAAGAAAAGAAAGAAGAAAATAAAAATGAAAAATGGTGAGGGAGGGAGGGAGGGAGGGAGGGTTCAAGGGGGGTTCGAAAGGTAGACTGAAAGGAGAAAACCCGATTCGAAGACTAACGATATTTTAAATAAAAATCGTTCATTTTGTGAAGAATCACGAAATATGAAGCAGATACTGCAGTATTAAGAATACGATCGCGCCGTTTTAATTAAGAAAAAATACAAACGGATAATTATTGTATATTGTATGATTTCTTTTCTGTCATATCGGAAAATATAAATTAATCATTATTTATAAGCGATATTTATATAAAAACAAAATAATACAACAACAAAAAAATGATACAAAAAAATAAAAGTAATATTATAAAACACGGAGAATTTTAAATGAAAAAAAAAAGAAAAGAACAAAAACAGAAAAAAAAGATTAACAAGAAGAAAATACATTGTACAGTTTAGGCAAATAAAAATTCCGGTAAAAATCCTCCTTTTTAGCTATGTAAGAAAAGACAAACCACACAATACAAAATGCGGCTTTTTATTAGGCCTATATCGGAGAATATAGATATATAAATATTTCATGAGGATAAAAAATGTCGTTCGTTTCTATTGTGAAGAAAAAAAAAAGTAAAATAAAATGGTCATTATCACACAAGCACACATATACACAGAGAACACACATGTACATCTACGTATGTTTGTTATTTAATATTCGTATATATGTATATGCGAATTATTTTTTATTTATAATTTTAATATTATACGTACTCGTAGAAACAATTTACAAATTGATTTTATTTGATCAAATTGACGCGCGAAAAATTTGTACATGCGTTTGATTTAAACTTAATATTATATGTAGGTAAAGAGAGAAGGAAAGGGTGTGTGTGTGTATATATATATATATATAAATTTATATATACACATATGTATAAATATTATTTAGTAATATTCGCAAGAAATTCCACTATTATGTGTAATGTCTGAAGAAAACAAAAAAGAAAAAGAAAAAAAAAAGCTATTTATATCCATTGTGCAATTCTTGAATAAGAAATTTTTGAAGTATGCGCGTTGAAACATAATTTGTTTTTCCTTTTTTTTTTTTTTTTATCTATGCAAGATGATTGAATAATCGATATCGAGGACATACACGTATGCGTATTTCTTTTTTCCTTTTTTTTTTTTCTGACACAAATAATCATGATCCATCTGATTATTTTTCTATTCATTCTTATTTTTTGTTAACGTACAATTTCATGAATTTTTACACGGCCAAAGGTGAAGGCAGGAGACAAATGGTGGAGAGCTAGAGAATATTTTCGAAAGTATTTGCAACTAGTAATGCAATTTTGTTGATCTTTTTCTTCTTTAAGAAATATTTCTTTTTTATTATGTTTAATTTTATTTTTTTAATTAATATTAATCAATCTTCTCCTTCAGCTCGACTGCCACAAATGTATTGCATATGTTATATGTTATATAATTTATTAAGCTCTCACCACACACTATTATATTATACATAAATATACATATATATAAATATATATACTACTTATGAATATATGTACAGTTTATATATTTTAAATTAAAAACTATCGCAATCAGAAGAACCTTTTATGTCTATTCATTGTGACAACATAAAGCGTTATTTAAATATAATAATTAAATAAGTTAATATATACGTATATAGGAGAATTATGAAATTCGATTTAGGAAAGTCGTCCTGACGTGAATGCAAATTCAAAAAATCCCGCATCGCACAGCGCATGCGCACTACCTTTTCCGATTTTGCATCAAAGTGTAAGTCAATCCGAACGAGAACACTTCTTGGAATTAATCAAATAATTATTTCGATAAAAATAATATCGATTATTTGTAATTATTGTCGAACAATATTGAACTAACTTGAAATCGATAAAACTCCAAATAAATGATAATATTTGAATAATAAATAATATTTGAATGTGTCGACATTTTATAAAGGTTTAAATTAACCTCCAACTGTCAGTAATCGATGAACTCTGTCAAATAATAAAATAATAATATAATTCCAATTGTGTTCAGATGGCTGCCGAAGTACAATGCATATTTTGTAAAATCATTAGAAATGAAAGTCCGAGTGAAAAGATTTATGAGGTAAGTAGACGAAAGTAAACGTTATTCCATTATTTAATCTGGACTTTTGACCACTCCCAATCTCTATTATTGTGATAGATATAAAATATTGAAATGACATTAACAAATAATACTACAAGAATTTAATGATTTTATGTATAAATCATTTCTAGGATGAGAACGTAACAGTTATTAAAGATATCAATCCAGCATCAAGCCATCATTATTTAATACTGCCAAATGAACACATACGCAATGCCAAAGAATTAAAACGTGAAAACGAAGAGCTTTGTAAGCGCGAAAAGAACATTTCTGTTTACTGTTTGAAGAAGACAAGAATTTGTCATAATCTATACTTTTCTTTTATAGATGATAAAATGATTGCAACAGTTCAAATAATAGCAGAACAACAAGGACTCGATATTAAATCTACTAGGACTGGCTTTCATTGGCCGCCGTTTAACACTGTACATCATCTTCATTTACATGTTATATCTCCTATCGAAAATTTGTCTTTTGTTAAACAAGTAATGTTTCGTCCTAATACTCCATGGTTCGTTAATGTAAGTATTAACGATAAATTATCGTCTATATAATTATTTAATCGATATACTATTTTCTTTCTTATTGCAGACGGACTACGTGAAGTCGCATTTACTAAAACAATAATTGTGATATGTAGTTTAATTATTATTCAAATTTTATACAAATTTATATTTCTGTTATTTATACATATATATATATATAATTATCGTTTTATATAGATTGTAATTTTAAAATCAGACATCCTATAATACAAATGCACTTTTTTTTTTTAATTTTATTCTTTATAAAATGAATGTAAAATATTCTAGTTTCTCACACATATACGGGCATTTCAAATCTTCCAAAGGGAAGCAGACTTCGTTCATATTTAAAAAACAGAACTAAAGAATTAGAAAAAGAAGAAAAAAATATCTTCGAAAAGGTAAACAAACTTAATCTTATCTCAATATTAGAAAAGATATAGGTATCGACGACTTCCGAGACACACACACATCGCCGTTATTGTAGACTACTACATTACTACAGCTAAAAGAATGCACATCTATGTGAAATTTCAATTGGCGTTTTTTCGCAAACGGCTGAGTATTTGCATCAAGTTTAAAGGCGCAATGAAACTTCTCATGGACTACTACAAGTGTGCCAAATTTCAAAATAATTAGAGAGGAGACGGTCAATCATTATTTTTCTTTCCTATCTTTTTCTTCTTTATTTTCTTTCTTTCTTACTCCAGTTTAGTTCATCCTCTCTCACATTCTCTCCCTCATTCTTTCGTCTCGTTTTTACAATTTATTTTCTTCTCTCTTATCTTTTAGGTGCGTATGTTTTAAAAACTAACGCACGTGAGAATATGCAACGTTTACATATTGAAAATAACCTTCTAGCCATAATGTGTTTCGGTGATACGTACAATTACCAGCACGAATTTAAAAACCTCACACAAGTGTTGTGTGTGTGTGTGTGTGTGTGTGTGTGTGTGTACTCGTGATGTGTTTATGTATTCAAAAAAGAAGGAGAAGAACTAAAATAAGATAAAATGGAGGAAGAAAAATAAAGGAATAAGAAACATTTCAAAAGGGAGAATGAAATTTATTTTTTTCCTTATTCTTTTCCCCTTTGATTTTTTCAAGTGAAAACTTCTTTAGAATTGGTGTGATATGAAAAAATGAATCATGGTGATGTAATGGGAAAACGAAACCGGGATGTAGTGGGGGAAAGGAAACGGCCTTAATACTAAGTAAGAAGAGAAAAAGAGACAAACATATAGGATTGAGCCTGCGAGAGAATGAGATAGAATATAGCTATATAGTTTTTCCTATTCTCGGTCTCCTCTTTATGCTCTGCTTCGTATTAAGGGTTCATTCTGGTTTATACGCCGAAAAAAAAGGCTATTTTCACGATTTTTTTTAGGCTTTGTAGGATACATAAACATATGAAAGTTGTTGGGTATGATAAATACACTCTAGAAGTACAAGAAAAAAATTTTTTTTATTGTTTTTAACGTTTTTTGACATCCAAAATGGTTGACAAACGTGAACCCGTCAAAAGTAGGTATGCTGTTGGCGGGCATCGAAAT